ATAATTTTGGTGCAGCTTCTATTTAGTTAGACATTAAACTTTTGAACGAAGATATCTCAGCAACCACCTAATAGAATTCAATTAAATTTTTTTAATTTTAATTTTACTGATTCTTAGAATTGAAATAAAAAACAATTTATTAAATTCTATTAAATGGTTGTTGAGATATCTTCGTTCAAAGTTCAAAATAGTTTCGGTGCAGCTTCGATTAATTAGGCGTTTAAAATTTTGAACGAAGATATCTCAGCAACCACCTAATAAAATTCAATTAATTTTTTTTAATTTTAATTTTACTGATTCTTAGAATTGAAATTAAAAAAACAATTTATTGAATTCTATTAGGTGATTGCTGAGATATCTTCGTTCAAAGTTCAAATAGTTTTGGTGCAGCTTTGATTATTTAGATATTTATAATTTTGATCTAATTTTTTTTTTAATTTTAACTTTACTGATTCTTATAATTGGAGTAAAACAACAATTTATTGAATTCTATTAAGTGGTTGCTGAAATAACTTCATTTAAAATCCAAAATAGTTTCGGTGCAGGCTTCTATTTAGTTAGACGTTTAAAACTTTGAACGAAGATATCTCCATAGCTATCTAATAGAATTCAATTAATTTTTTTTTAATTTTAATCTTATTAATTCTTAGAATTGAAATAAAAAAATTTTTATTGATTCTATTAGGTGGTTGCTGAGGTATCTTCGTTTAAAGTTCAAAATAGTTTTGGCGCAGGTTCTATTTAGTTAGTGTTTAAAACTTTGAACAAAGATATCTCTGCAACCACCTAGTAGAATTTTGTGAAAATTTTTTTATTTTGTTTCTACGAATTCACAGAATTAGAAAAAAAAATTTCATCGAATTCTACTAGGTGGTTGCAGAGATATCTTCGTTTGAAGTTAAAAAAATAGATTTAGATATTCTTTTTTCTGGCCAATCATCGCTTTTTGATTTTGGCCAATCATCACGAGTGTTACGTGATTATGCTCCGCTTTAGAATTTTCCTCAGCGTCGTTGTGAAAAAGTTACTGTCACATGATAGTATCCGTAACGTATTAAAAAATCTTTAAGTTCGTTTAAGTTAGCGTTATAGGGCCATGTGTTAGTGGGTGTATAGTAAAATTGGCCAAGAAAATTTTTTTGTTAGAATGCAGAAGGTGGTTTCTTATGCAAATTTTTGAAAAATAAGTGACTTTTGAAAAAATGAACGTTTTGTTTTGATCTTCCTGATTGTGTTATGTTACACCAAAGCGAGACTCGCTATTTGTCAATCATCACGTGACAGTAACTTTTTTACGGCGATCCTGAGGTAGTTCCGCTTTAGACGACCCCCAAAAAGGGGATTGCTACGGACACAGCAACACGTGACTTATCCGCTTATCGGCACAGCAGTGATCGGCATAAGCACCCCCAAAATTCGACTAATCAAAATATTGAATACATATATAAATATTTTTAATAATGACAAATTTTGAGTGAAGATATCTCAACAATCACCAGGCCAAATATGATGAACTTTTTTTTAATTTGAATTTTATGTATCTATAGAATTTAAATCATAAAAGTTTATCGAACTTGACTTCTTGGTTATTGAGATATCTTCGGTCAAAGTTTTGACAAAAATTCAAAATGTTTATTAGAATAGAAGCCATACCAAACTTTTTCAAATTTTGAACAAAAATTTCTTGATATACCAAGCTAAATTCGATAAACTTTTTTTCAGTTTAATTATACAAATTGTAAATTTCAAATAAAAAAGTTTATCGAATTTTGCTTGATGATTGTCAAGAAAGTTTGAAAAAAGGTTGGCACAACTTCCGTTTTGATAGATTTTGTCAACCTTTGAGCGAAGATATCTCGACAACTTTTAAGTCAAATTCGATGAACTTTTTTTATTTAACTTCTACGAATCTATAGAATTAAATAAAAAAAAGTTCATCAAATTTGACTTGATAGTTATCGAGTTATTTTCGCTCAAAGTTTGGCAAAATTCAAAAATGTCTATAAAAATAGAACCTCAAAATTTAAATGAAGATATCTTAACAACTATCATGCTAAATTCGATAAACTTTTTTTTATTTGGATTTTATAGTTTGTATAGTTAAACCAAAAAAAGTTTATTGAATTTATCTTGGCAATTACTAAGATATTTTTGTTTAAAGTTTGAAAAAAAGTTTGATGCAGCTTCTATTGTTCTATTTTGATGTACAGTTTAAATTTTGTCAAACTTTGACTGAAGTTGTTTCGACAACCACCAAGTTAAATGCGATTGAATTCTACAGATATGTGGTGACTGTTGAGATATATTGTCACTAGCAAAACCATGTGCAAAAAGAATCTAAGAATTATGTAGAATTCTGCACGTTAGAAGCACAAAAACATTACGCAAGCATCGTCGAACTGCAGTGCCCCAGGACCTACATTTTCACCCTAACGATCATATGCAAGAAACCTGCTCAAGCCAAAACCTTCATAATGAAGCATTAAAAATGATGATCATATGAAAGCCAAGCCTCCATTAACGATCTCATTGAAGCAGAAGACACTTACCGGTACTCGATTCAGTATGATAGCTGTCAAAGTAATATTACCTTGTCGGGTAAGGTGTGTGGCTGTGAACGTTAAAAGCACATGAATCGATAGGAGAGTCAATAAAATGAATAAGCAAAATTGACGGGTAAAGAACGATGACAGTGTAAAAGCCTTCATTCGACGTACCTTCTTTTTGCCTTCTTTTCCAGCTATCGAACGTTTCAATGAGAATGGCTGTGATTAAAGGTTGGAATTAGACCTGAAAAGGGTTAAATGGCATGAGTGCGATGACTGTTCAATGAGAAGAGATGGGAAAAGTATTCAATCTTGATCTTTTTTCTTGCCCTGTAAAATTTGTTATAAATAAGAGGACAAATTCCTCTTGTTTGAACAGTAATTGAACCAGTACGTATACAATTCGCTCTAAAAACATAAAAAAATTGTTAATAAAAGCCCTCTCATAAACCTAAATCACAACATTCGTTAAAACTGTACCAACTTACTTATCTTAATGATACTTAATAGTCACTTTAGACCCATGCCAAATCGATATCCGCCTCACAACACTATTGAGTATTGTTAATTACCATTCTCTCTCTTTATAAGCAACCAACGGTCGTTTTCTTTCTTGTTAGTTAGTGGTGTGTTTAGTCTATTCGCCCACTAACACTAGCCACGACGATAGTTGCCAAATCCATTTTTCTAAATTCAATTTTTTGCCTTCCGTGGGAATTGAACTTATACTCTACCACTTGGGGGTGCGACAACTTCACTACTTCACTAAGTCGCTACACCCTAACAATTTAATTGTAACTTAGCTAATATACACAATTATAATATTAATGCTACTAAAAATAATAATCATTTGTACCTGCTGCTGCATATTTCAAAGATATAAAAAGAGGATAAACAAGGCCATATCTAGAGCAAAACAATACCTTGACACTAATAGAGACTGCTGCTAATTTATTTCAAATTTTTTAAAAGAAACAAAGACAAAATAACCCTCTACTATATAATATAAACTAATATTAACTTAATCTGCACCAAATCTACAACAACCAATTCTATTATATAACCAAGATCCAAAATTTATGAGATTTATAAACAGACTCTTCAATTTAACACTATCAATACTAATAAGACCAATACTAAATTTTTCAAAACCACCACCAGCCAAACCAAAACCAAAATATATCTTAAAAAATAGATAAACCAATTAGAATCTGAAATAATTAGAGAATAATTACTTTAACTATTATTATCTTAAAAGTATTAACTATACTTATAATCTGTGCAGAAAATAAAAAAGAAGTCAACAATTTAAATAAGCTCAACAAGATATATTACTTATACAAAACTTAACAAATGAACAAACACTAAACAAAACCTTTTTAAATTTACATCAACTAACAATTTGAAACTAAATACTATTGAATGGCAATAGAATACAAATATCTATATCAACTCCAATACAAACAACTCTTATTCAAACAATAATTTCATTTGTAATATCATTAATGCCAACAATTGTATCAACTATACTACAATTTATTTAAAATATAAACGTAACTAGTTTACTAAGAAGAGAAGCAGCATTAATATTAATAATAGCAATAGTATCAGCAATAATCATCTTTTGTGTAAAAAACAAAAGATTACAATTACTTAAATATGATCAAGAAATTAAAAACTAGAAATAACCAGAAAAATACAAGCAACTATTAATGACCTCTAATAATAAATGATCCTTATCATCAAAGAACTATATAAATGATTAGCAATAAAACTATTAGAAAAACCAGAAATTAATTATTAAATAATAATCAATGAAAACAAATGGTTAACAAAAAAAGAAGGAAAGAAAATACTAAAAACCAAAGCAACTGCAGTATAACTTCATTTATTAAAAATCTGAAAAATACAAGTTTTTAATAAAACTATCCAACTAATAAATTTTTTTAAATTACAAAACCTAGCAATACAACTAGACTAAATAGAATTATTAACCTATATTAGAAAATCAATAAGAGAAGAAGAAATAAACCATATCTTGGATTCAACAAACTAGTAGATAATGAAACAATCTTTAGTATATTCTAAGCATTTTTTACCAAAAAACAACAATAAATATTATTCTTAGAAACAGAACTCATAAGAAAAAAATGAGATCAAATATATCAACAATTAAAACAAAGAAATTAAAATTTAAAAAAATACTACAATACAAAAGAAAATAATTATATTTGAAAAGATTCTTTATCATTAAGCACTAACTAATACATGAAAAGAGAAATAACTATATCAGAAATACAAGAAATAGACCAATTAATAACTATCTTAGAAGAAGAAATAGCAACACTAATTATATACAGCTTAGAAATAAAAGATATATTAAAATATGTAACTGCTATAACAGCATTAAGATAACCAAAATAAATTATTAAATATTTAATAAAAATAGCAAAGCTAAGATAACAGAATAGTAGTAGAACTAAAATAGGGTAACATAAAATACCTATTACCAACATTCTCAAGAAATTCATGAGATTATATAGAATGGAAAAATGAACTAGAAAATATATTTGAAATAATGAATATGAAAGATACTAGGAAATGATTAGATAAAATAGACTAGAGTCGCAGCAGATGCAGACCGAAAGGAAGAAATATATGCAACATCAACAATACATTTTAATATAGAATTTTTTACAAGAGTAAAAGCAGTCATATATGTAAACTAATAGAACTAGCTAGTGTTTCTCAATTTCTGCAATATAACAATATGTATGATTTAGCTACTCACACTCAATCTTCCACAGTCATATAGCAAAATAATAGACATGAAGCAGTATTGACTACATATAGACTAACCATCCAATTCTTTAATACTTAATCTCTTTTTATACTGACAATCCAAAAACTAGTATGGTAAGTGATCACAAGATCATAATATTTTTATAGCCATTTCTATATACATTTGCTGATAAAAGCCAAACAGCAACTTGAATCTATAAAAAAGGATTTTTATATAAAAACATAAGTCAGGAACTATAGCAAATTTATACAGTTTAAATTTATCAAATCTTCAAACAAATTATATCACTCAATATAAATACATCAAAATCACTCGAAAGCACCTGGTACAAAACTCAAAACAGTGTTATCTCTGCAACACTTCAGTATATTCCTAATATAAAGTTCACAGCTCGCAACTTCCAAAATATATTTTTCTCCAAAGCATCCATCTACATTATCATTTTAGAAATTAGAAAATATTGTTTGTCTTACCAAAGCCTCATTAAGGAATCTTATATCAATATCTATTCATCTCAATATTCTTAATTGTCACAAAGATCCTGTCAAATTTGATAATATTAAACTGATAATGATGTTATTACTAATACATCTGAGATTAAAACTCATATCCAGCAACATTTTAATAAATAGACTGATTACAAACCTACTAACCAACAAATATATAATTTTATATAGAAAGACAAGTATAATCCTAATCCTAATATTAACCAAGAGTAGTAAAATAGTATACTCAAAAAATTCAAATTTGATAAAATCTTAACAATTCTCTTTCAACTTCCAAACAATAAAGCATATGGTTCTTCAGATATTAGTTATAAAATGCTAAAACATGCAGATTACTTCTTTTTCTTAGCTATTACTGCACTATTTAATAGATGCATAATCACTAATTATATACCTAAGCAATAAAAAGAAGAAAAAATCTACCCAATTTTCAAGAAACCAATTTATAATAATAACCTAATTAACACCAGACCTATAAGTAGTGCTCCTAATTAAACAGAGTTGCACTGTTCAATCTGTTTGATAATTCAATCTCATTTGATCAGTATATGACCCGGGTTAATTGGTATATGCAATTATATAAATAAAATAAACTATTCACATAAATAAATTAGAAGCTATTGTTATTTAAATAAATTAGAAATAAACTATTGCTATATAAATAAATTATTGTTATGTAATATTGCACAATTGATAAAAGAAAAAATTAATAGATAAATATTAAAAAGAAAGAAATTGAGAAAAAGAATTGACTTTATATATTATTATAGTACCATGCGATAATATTTTTAAAAATATCAAATGAACATTCTCAACTAGATTATAAAACAATAGTTTTTATTCTTACAGCATGTTAGAGAAGAGGAAATTGTATAACAAAATATATTAGAGTGCTAGAGCATAAAATTATTTGTATAACTTTATTTAGAAAGATTTAATCTTTAAATTCTATAATTAATTTATTTTGATTGTATGTAATTTTATATAATATAGTAATAAATACAAAATAGCATTGTTTATTTGAAAGATTCGCAAATTTACGAACTCAGGTCATAACTTGAGTTGTTGTGAAATGACTCCAAACTTGACCCACCTATTTATTAGAAGTACTACATAAGCCACCTCAAATATATTAAAAAACTTTATACTAAACTTCTTATCAACTGCCTCAACAAAATCTTTACCAACTACCAAATACTTTCTTCTTATAACTATATTGTACTTTCTGGTAATTGTATAGCAATTCTAATTCATATCCTTAACAATATTATCGAAGATGCTACATGTAATTCTAAACAACTTTGGCTTATATTCCAGAATATGAGCAAAGCATATGATTCAGTTAATATAAATCTCTTTGAAAATTCTTTATGCTAACCAAACTTATCAAGATTCTAACTAACTTACTTTTAAACCATCACAACAGAGTTATTACAAACTTTGGGCTTACTAGTTTTATTCTGTTAAAAATAGTATCAACTAAGGCAAAACTATTACACCACTCTTTTGGAGAGTCTATTTTAATTCACTTATTTACAAAATTGCTATCAGCTTTAATGGCTATATCCTATTAACTTCTTGATAAACTCAACTTATACATCTGAAACAAGAACAATTAAAAGACTCTATATCTGTATTAGCATATATAGATAATACACTTTGGATTGCTAATTCAAAAGAGCAACTTGAACTAATCACTCTAATAGCTTATCCTTTTATCAAATAGCAAGTCTTTAAATAAACATGCCCAAATATATTTTGTTACAAACACTAAACCAACATCAATATTCTTTTTTAACTTCACACTTTAATCCATTCCAACTAACCAACCATTTAAATAGCTTGGATGTTGGTTCACACTCAACAAATCAAACTAATCAAAAATAAAATATTTCAACTTATCTATATAGCTAGTACTAAAAAAATAACAGATAAGCAAATTACTTATATTATTAATATAGTTATTATTTCTATATTAGATTATAAAATACACAATATCATATTATCATGTTTGATATGTAATATTATTCTAGCTAAATATCTCACTATAGCTAAACACAAATATAACTTATCAAGATCTATTCCAAATAGTACTATGCTTAACCTATATCTCTATAATATCTGTAACATCTAAGATATTCAACTTCAACACTACATTACAACTTCTACCAACATATTAACAATTCTAATCTTTTAGAAATTACTATATGAATCAGACTCCAACAACTACAAAATAATATATGATCAACTACTAATATACTACAGCACCCTCAACTAATAGTCAATGGTGCTAACAGATTTATATTAAACTTTAAAACTATTTAATTACTTTGATATCTTGGAGTTTCTATTATAGCTAATACTAATGCCTTATAGCCTAATAGAAAAAATTCTTTATAATCATTCCAACTATACAACTTTCAAAAAACAACTCAGACATCTACAAATACTTTATCTGGAACAACTTTGCACCTTTGATAATATCAGTCTTTTGGTATAGCAACATCTTTTACCAAGACTACGATTTTACCAAAAGGCAAAAAACCTTTATAGTTTACTATACTTGAAGATATAGTTATTGAAAATAAATATAGTTGCACTCTATTTACACAATATCTATAACTAGTACAAACCTATTTGCATATAATACATATAATATTCTAAAAAAATTTAAACTATAGCGAATTACCTTTAATAATAATGAAATCATTTTAGACAAAATTTATACATTTACACCAAAAATCAACCTAATGTTCTATCACACATTGGCAAACTGATATTGATACAAATATTACAATATACTATCTATTACAACCTATTAATTGCTATTTTTGTATAGGATATCATCTTAACTCTAATAGACTACAATCTGCATGCATAATTAATATATTCAAAATCACTTCTGCTCAGTTCTTTGGAAGACTCCTTAATAATAATCTTATATCAAACTTCAATTATATAGACTTTCTTTTTTCTACTGCAGTGAAATTTTCACTTTTAGACCCTCTCTATTACTCCTCTTTCTTCTATTCCTATTAGTAACTCTACAATTTCTACAATCTTTAAAACTAATAAAAAGACAGCTAAATTAGAAGATATCTTAGCTCAAAACTCTACTCAAAAATAATTTAATTTCTATACTAATGGTTCAGTAATTAATATTGGTATTAGACAGGTTCAATGGGTATAGAATGAGTCCAAGTAAATAACAATAATCAAATCATTTACAGATTTTTAGCTCAAATTCATCTCTGGCCATCTTCTTATAAAGCTGAACTCTTTTCTATACTGTTTGCTATTTCCACAACCTCTCATAATTCTATAATTAATATATATACAGACTCCCAATCAGAAACCACAGGCTAAAATCACATGACTACAAAGCTTACCCAAACCCAAATTTTTATTTTTCAGTAACTTCTGGCTAACAGTCGGCCTGCACTTGTGCGGGTGAGAAACCACCGGCTAATGCCAATTATACATCAAACGCACTGATGTATGCTATATATCTGTCAATGATACATCAAACGCACTGATGTATGCTATATATCTCTTTCAATTATATATCAAAAAGCACTGATGTATGCTATATATCTCTTCAACTATACATCAAACACACCGATGTATACTATAACTCTCTAATAAAGTTTGATATCCAGCGCTATTAGCGCTAGAATGCATCCAACAATTATATCATATGCATGCAGTTCTTTTCGATATATTTAAAATTTAAAACAATGCAGACCAATTTAATTCGGTGGTTTACGTTACATCCTTCTCACAAAAAAGGGGAGACGGGCTGGAGATAATTTTTTTTCGAAATAATCTGAGATATAATAAAAGGTTTCTGAAATTTTCCGCACATATTAGTGGGGAGGAAGTCAGATGGGGTAACGTAAACCACCGAATTAAATTGGTCTGGCCTTTTGTGCGAACAGAAAAATTACCGATTATATATAAGTGAACTAAAATTTTAATTCGTTACAATAGGGTTAACTTGAATGTAGATCATTGTGTCATGAAACTCATTCGATTACTACATCCAAACTGAATCAAGATTTTGTGGACAAGCGCAAAACTCGAATTGCAACTTTAAAATATATAGATTAACTCAAAACAATGAAAATAAAAATACCTAATGGTATTTAATCTGTTGATAAAGGAAATCTTCACAAGTTTTTAAGAAATAATTTCTGTGATCTTGGCTGGCAAACTAAATTAAAACTGCTTTTTGTGATTTATATGGGACCCCACACAGCAAAAGGGGGCAATGGGCCAACCAATCAGATTTTGAGATTTTATAATAATAGTTTGCTTATAAATTTTATCTTTCTAAAAATATTTTTAGTTTGTAAAATATACTAATAAAAAGTGTGTAATTTAAACATTTTTTTCGTTGTTTCTATA